CTCTATCAAGTATATTTATATAGCGCTTTTCACAATATAGATTGCATCAAAGCAGCTTCACAGTATCAATCAAAACATAATAACAATGTTCGTTTCTTAGTGGAAAAACATCCACGTTTGGTAGAGCTGATCAATGGTATTAATGATTGGTTAATTAATTTGAATATCCCCAACTGAGCAAGCCAAAGGCAACAGTGGCAAGGAACCGAAAAACTCCATCAAGTGACCCGATGGTGTCCTAAAACTCCATCAGGGACCCAATGGAGAAGAAAAAAACCTTGGGAGAACCCAGGCTCAGTGGGGGCCAGTTCTCCTCTGGCGTTTATGAACTAGAGGCCGGATTTACAGTAACTGCAAGGTAAAAATGTATATGAATGTCTCTAAACAGACTTTAAACGTGAACCTGTGATTAACGCTGATGGCGTTCACATGCGCATTAAGAATTGATTCTATAGTTATGTGCGTTTGAATATATGTGCGTAGGTTTGTATTTCCCTAGAAAACCATGCCTGAACAAATTACTTGTCTATAAATTTGATACATAATTTTGTTTTATTTTATCACTTCGGGGTAGGTACGCGAAACTAGATTCACAACGCTTTATCTGTAGAGTTTATTGTTTATTGTTTATTATTTAGATCCCCATTAGCTACTCCATTAAGCAGCAGCTATTCTTCCTGGGGTCTTAACAATTTTTCAACAAAATATTAACATCAAGGCTGTACAACAATGAAGACAAATACAGAAGTGCACACAACATCATTTAAGATATCTAATTAGTGGGAAAGGGATCTCTATCACGTATTTTTACTGTCTCATGTAAAATGCAAGTAGACTCCACTGTAATACAGTAAGTCTACAGCTTATGGTGAACAGTACAGTATAGTGAACACTGTCTGATTACACGCATGTTCTGTCTATAAAGACTTGAATGTTTGAGGACACACACGGTTGTTCTCCCAACATTCAGCTCAGCTTTCAACCCGCCTCGGCCATGAGGTCATGAACATGATCTACAATATTGGCCCCTATTTCTTCAGAAACCTACAATCTCTCTGTTTTACCTCTGTATCCTTCCACCACACATCCTTACTCCTCCTCTTCTTCTTCTCGGCTGTTACCCTGTTGTTCTTCCATTCTCAGAGTGTGTATGTGTTGTGCTCTGTCTATATGGCTTCCAGAGGAAGCTTCATGAGATGCACTCTGAGCGATTATAGAGAACTGGTGATCATTGATTGATCTAATGCTTTACATTCCCCTTCATTAGTGAAATTCAAAATTCACATCTGCAATTCAGGACAAAAAAAGTATAATAGAATTGTATAGAAAATATGTTTGACAGTTTATGACAACTAGTAATTTAATGCCTATATGTTTTGAGGGGTAAGACTATTCAACAGAGAACCAGTATAATACATTTTGATCAACATGACATAAGCAATTGATAATGTAAGAAACAGCAGACACTTACATTTATTGCATGAATGTACCAAAGCATTTGCAATTTGTTCAAAAGAATGATAAACTGCTTTCATGATGTGCACAAGTGACTAGATGATGTGGAGGTTGAACAAGAATTTTAGTTGTGATTTGAGAAATGCACCAAAGCGCCTTAAAAAAACGTATGTAATTAGTGTAAACATTTAATTAATATAATAATATAATATGAGAATGTTTCATGCAGCTGCTCTCCTCTATATAATATAATATAAAATAATATAATATATACTACAAAGAGAATGTTTGCTGTAACTGCTCTCCTCTTTATATAATATAAAATAATACAATGCAATATAATATAATAAGAATAATGTTTGCTGTAACTGCTCTCCTCAATATAATATAATATAATATAATATAATATAATATATAAAGAAAAAAGTTAGCTTGTTTGCTGTAGTGAATGTGTTGCTGTGGTAACTGGTAACGGAGTCCTGTCCTGCTCGTGCGGGGGGTGGGGGAGGGGCGGTGGCCACTCAGGGAAATCACTGATATTATGAGAGGAAACGGCAGAACGCAAAGTAGGAGAAAACACTTCAAACAAATAAAATCACTCATAAAAGCAAGCGATTTAGCATGTTTTCACATCTTTTGGTGGCTTGTGTGTTTTTATTAAACAAACTTGGATGAATAAATCATCACATCCATATTGACAGATTTAAACAGCTGTTCCTCCGCTTTTGGAAGAAAATATGTACTTTGTAAATTCACATGACGTAATGTCTCTGTCTCTTCCCCGCTTCAAACTCGTTCCTACATGATTAATAAACTCCTATGTAAGTTACTGTACAGCTGTATAGTCTCGGTGACGCGCAGCAGCGCGATCTTCACACACACATAACGTTACACAGAGCAGACTCCGATGCGAGAGCAAAACTGCGAGGATTAAAGTTTAATAACATGCCCATATACATCGTGAGAGCTCCTGCTGCTCAGGGTAAATTAGTCTATTTTTATTTAAATAATAATTATTGCGAATTTATCTATTATTGAATGTGGATTATCTGTCAATTCATTCATAATAATGATATCGCCTCCGCTCCGCCATTTTTGTTGATGACGTGATGGCCTCAGATTGGTCAGATCATTAAGTCCCGCTCTCATAGTGGCTTCCTGCGCTCTGATTGGTCAGAATCCCCGAAGTGTGTATCTTTTCCGGAAGTGCAGTACTCCTAGAGGGCGCTGTGTTATACACACTTTAGTGGGGGGGCATACACACTTCACATACACAAATCACTTAAAACTGATTTTTTGGGACAAGTGAGATTTTAAGTCTGGACACCATTTTAGAGTATGCTGAATGCCATTATATAGTCAAACAAATGAGGACATACAAAATGTCCTCAATTTTTGAGGTGGTCCTCAGTTTACTGGTGTGTATCCTGGTGAATGTACCCAAAAGGGACATAAACAAACACACACACACACACACACACACACACACACACACACACACAAAGACACATACACACACACACACGCTGTTAGATCATTGATAGTTTTCAGAACAAAGTGCACACACACACAAACAAAGACACACACCTATGAGGACTCATGCAATGTCCTCATATATCACATGTAAGTTGTAATACCAGTGTAATATGCATGTCATTATACACATTTGTGTCCTCATATATCACAAAAACAAAGCTATAGGTGTGTGTCTTTGTTTGTGTGTATTTGTTTGTGTGTATCTATCTATCTATCTATCTATCTATCTATCTATCTATCTATCTATCTATCTATCTATCTATCTATCTATCTATCTATCTATCTATATCTATCTCTCTCTATATAGATAGATAGATAGATAGATAGATAGATAGATAGATAGATAGATAGATAGATAGATAGATAGATAGATAGATAGATAGATAGATAGATAGATAGATAGATAGATAGATAGATAGATAGATAGATAGATAGATAGATAAGAATGTAAATGTAATATAAATGTAAATGTGTACCTTCAAATGCAATGTAAGTCGCTTTGGATAAAAGCGTCTGCCAAATGCGTAAATGTAGATAGATAGATAGATAGATAGATAGATAGATAGATAGATAGATAGATAGATAGATAGATAGATAGATAGATAGATAGATAGATAGATAGATAGATAGATAGATAGATAGATAGATAGATAGATAGATAGATAGATAGATATCTAGATAGATAGATAGATATCTAGATAGATAGTCATATAGCCATATCATTTTATATTACAGTTTTTTACAATCACTTTGCTACTATTTTCAGAACCTTGATGTCATTTTTCAAAACTCTAGACACAAAACTCAAAACGATAATCACTTGTAACACAGGCTGTCTAATGTTCAAAACATTGCATTGTGCATTCACATCTTTAAAGAAATCTTGCACTTGCACAATCATTGGTTCAAAAAACAAATTAACTGTTTGTAATATATTGATGCAAAACACAGTACAATCACAACATGGTTTTTTGAATCAAAGCAAAAATAATTAGCTATGAAATAGAAAAGAAAAGACAGTACTGTAAAACATCAAATGCATTGTTCCTCAACTTGCTGTTAGAAACTAAACAGGAGTGATTACTGTACTTCTACACTGTCATCAACTCTTTGTTGTGGATTTGGCCACAGGTTCTCATCTACATCACAATGGATGTTGGAAAATGACATCTTGGAAAAAACCTTTGGCATGGCGAGTCCAGGCCTGACACTGCTCTGCTGTGATTGGCAGAATTGGACACGCAGTTACAAGGGCCTGCATCTATACAGTACTGTACTGTCAATACTGTACATAGTCTGAAAAGGTGGTACAGTATTTGGCACCATAGACACAGTGTCTGATGAAGCATTACAGTATGATAAAATATTAGGCTACATCCATGGATATTGTAGTCTAATTGGTTCATGCCATGCTAATTGGTGACAATGAATCTTATTATCTTGAAACTTTCATGATTTACTGTAAACATGGAATATTGTTTGTCTGTTTCCATACAACTATGCATTAAGAGTAATGCAACAGTTACTTATCATTTTGAGCAGCTGTATCAATTGATAGTTAGATCATTGTAAGGAAATGAATAGACACTCATTTGAAATGTAATGTGTGAATTGCCTTTTGAAATAGTAGTACTGTGATGTTAAGTTGTGTCATATTGAACAGGTGATCTTTGTTGAATGAACAAATGATCTAAGTTTTATGTGTAGGCCTATTGTATCCAAGCAATTGAGAAAAGGGTTAGAGTTTTGAAAAATGTACTTTTTGATCATTGGTTGTGAGTTTTGTGTCTAGAGTTGTGAAAAATGACATCAAGGTTCTGAAAATAGTAACAAAGTGATTGTAAAAAACTGTAATATGGTTCTCATCATTCATATTGCCTACCGAGTATATGTCAAAGTAGCCCACCCCATCACATGGTATACCATGGTAACAACATCTTTGACCAGCAGAGGGAGCAGTAAAACTCAACAATAATGTCTGACACACACACACACACACACACACACACACACAGCAGGGTTTATGTTGTTAGAGGAGCGGCAGAGAGGCTCACAGCAGGGCTGAGTCTGATCGTTCTTTACGGGCTGATGGATTATCGGTCGGTTCGACTCCTCTGAACGGAATATTTGGGCTCTGTTCGGTCAGGTAAAGCGGGTTTCCCTCTTCTCGTGTCGTGACGTGTCTGTTAGTGTGTTTGAGCTGTTGCTTTGCTTATCTTACTGAACGCGCTGCTTCCAGAATCAATATTCATTTAGCACTTTTCCATACGCATTCTTCTCGTTTTCCCTTTGCGCGGTTTCTGAATACTCTTTTAAGATCATAAACTGATCTTATTCTTCACTCGAATAAAATGACAGATGGACATTATTTGAAGGGAAACAGTGTCGTTCCTGCATTGTCGGAGTTCAAGATTCAACACTTTCAGACTGAGACATTTATTGCGAAAAATGCGTTATTAAAGGAGCTGTCACCTAATATAGCCTACTTCTCCATATTTTAGTAGATATGCCAAATAACATGGGCTTTGCTTTTTCAATATCAAGAGTATAGGTTAAATTGAACTTGTGTAGCCTATAATATATGTTTACAGTATGGCAATATAGTCTAATATTTAAAAAATCCTGTACGTGCCAAGTTCTGAGAAATGCAATATTTTCTTGTTGGGTTCCAGACTAGTGTTTTAAATGACTCTAAGAGTAATTAATTACTAGCTACTAATTACATCTTTAACAATGTAATTAGATTACTGTACTAATTACTCTCTCTAAAAATGAATACAATTGCATAAATTATTCTTGAACTGAGAAAAGTGTGTAAATGGAGAAGGTTACATTAAACTGTTAAATTACATTTTGACATAAAATGTTGATGTTAAATTCACTATTGTTTTATATAAATTGTTATAGGCTACAATATTTAATGCAATTACATCAGAAGTAACTGTAATTATATTTCATAAAAATTTAGAGGAATCCCTTTACTTTTTCAAGGGAAAAGTGATTAAATTACAGTAAATAGATTACGTTTGGTTTATACATTTTTTTTTTAATTCAAGAAAGTGGTATAATCACAAAGGCAAAAAGTACAGAAATGATACACGAGTGTAGACATCTTAATAATTTATATACATTTTTTAAAGAGTTAAAGAAGTCAAGATTTTTGAGTCAAGAATATCACTATCATCTGAAGAAAGCATGTGTTTTTTTTAAACGAACTTGATGACCTTGAGACACTGTAAGGAGGGTCTTCAAGGATGTGTTTTATAGTTCTTGTCACATGACAGAATGGCTCCTTTTATTTCAGTGACTAAAAACTTGTAGGCTATTCAAGTAATTCTCTGTATGAGTTGCATTGTTGTATAGTTTTAGCCTTCACTAGTTCGTTTAAATAATCCTGTGGTGTGACACATTTTGAAAGTATGAATATTCCATGTCCTCTCTACTTTAAAACAAGGTCATAAAAGGGCATGAATAATAATGATTACACAAACATTTAACTAGTTTTAGATGGAGAATGGCATGTCGCACTGCAAGAGACTTCTGACAGTGTTAGTCATTAGAGTCACAGGGGTTTGCAGTTTTATTGCAAGAACAACAAAAAAAGGTGTTAAAGGTTAAACCCAAGCTGCAGCTGAAAACTTGTAGTACTTCAAATGTCAGTGCATACTTGTTTTTATGCCCACTGCAGACGAGTGAAGGGTGTAGTCAAGGAAGTGTGGTTTAATGCTCTCATGATGTGGCCTCTGACGGCTTTAACATCTGCTCAGTTCATCAGCTGCTGTGTGTGTTTGTGTGTGTACTTTAGATATGGTCAAAAAGCTTGTTGCAGGAATGAATTTAAGCTATTATCTGTATGTAGAGTTAATAACAGTTTCTGCTTCTGTGTGTCTGGGGTAAATTACATGTTGCTTGCTGGTGCTGTGTGTAGTGTTGTCAGTTTGTTTCAACAGACTTTGGTTGTCCTACATGGTATGTTTTTGCTTGCAAAACGTTTATAAAAGGGAAACCAGCACTGTGGGGGTTTCATTACCGTGTTTGTTTTTTAGCCCTTGTAACGTCTCACTTGTTGAAGGTCTTTTGTTAAGCAATGCAACTCCTAGTAGTGTTGTGTTATTTGTATGTGTGCTGCTATATTAAGTTTCTGTTGCTCTTGATTTCCCAGGTGACAGGAAGCTGTGCATGTATGGCTGATGGACAGGTGTCCGAACCAATCACAGGACAATGCTGGCACGGAGCCGTTTCATCGTGGTGCTGGTGGTGGGTGCGCTGCTGGCGGTGCTGAGTTTCAGCTTGCAGTATTGTAAGTGTGTGTGAACCACAATGAATGATTTCAGTCACGTTTCCTCTGTATGTGCTTACAGCTATTCATACATACTCGAATGTTTCCCTGGGGACTGCGGTGTATGTATGTTTAGTGTGTCAGGTGGGAATTTAACCTCCGCTGGATTGTATTTTACATTCTTGGGATGTGCCTGTGTGTGTGTGTTTTGTAATTCCAGTGGGAATATGGTCTCAATTAGACCGAATTCAACACACTAAACAAAAGTTGAAGTGCTATATCATGGATTTTTTTCCCGTTTCAGTAGAACACAATTTAAGTGATTATTTTTTAATTAGCCAATAAAACAAATATAAAAGACAAAGCGTGTCTATATACTCTTACAAAATCGTATGGTGGCACACAATGGAAATACCATTATTCTTTGGTTGAATACCATGGTATTACCATGCTAGGTGTCACAATCACTAGCTGCCTGTCCTGGACTACGTTGTTACTTGTTGATTATCCTTTCAATACACTACTTTGTTTGGATCCTCAACCCTGTGTGTCAGAGCAGTTTCATGACAGAAGACATGGATGGATCCAGCAGAGGAAATTCGGTTTTAAGGACTTGCATTGCCATGGCTTAGCTGAGCCCATAAAATCATGTATTCCTATAGGAAATAACGAACTGACTCTAGAACAATAGAGTCAGTTCGTATGTTTTGCTGCTGGTTGAGGGGAGGTCGAGTAGGGGGGGGTGGCCACTGGAGCTTGGCCAATCACAGTCTCCAGTACTTCCAGCTTTGATGGTGGCAAGTCCAGTTCTCTCAGCACTTCCCAGTCCGGTATTCCCAAGACCAGGGCCTCTTCACAACATGGCTGCCACACCAGAGTCTTCAGGTTGTCTTCGGCCCCACCAGCTCCATCGTGGGGATCTTTAGTCCCGTCCGCTCGGCTGTGGCGGTCATTTGGTGTGCAGTGGGGGTCTTCAGTCCCGTCTACACTGCCTTGGTGGTCATCTGCTCCACCATGGGGATCTTCAGCCTTGCCTGCCCAGTCCAGGACACTTGCACTGCCTGGTCTGCCCTGGCCTCTTACACTACCTCCGTCTCCAGTCCTTCTTCCACTCCAGGGACCTGGCCCTCCATCCCACCCGTGAGTCCGCCTCCGCTCCACCTTCCTTCTGGACTTCTATGACCCGTTGAGGAGCATCTGGATAACCAGCTGGAGTGCCCTTGGTATCCACCAGAGCGCACTCCCCTCTTGTTCACTGTCATTGCAACATGGACTACATTTCCCAGAACGCACTGCCCGGTCTCATCTTCCCTGATTGTTCTCAGCTATTTCTCATTACAGTCCCTGTCTATATAATCCTGGTTCATTTCAGTCACTCATTGCAAAGTCTTGTATGTGTCTGTATTGCATTTCTGAGCCTTGTATCCTTGTTGCCTGTGTCTTGGTTTTGATCTTTTGCCTGTTGCCCTGGATTTCCAGTAGCACCTCATTGCAGTACACATTGGATCCAGATCTAAGGGGTGGAGATGGGTAGGATTAGGGGTGTGGTTAGGGATCAGGGGGCGGAGATGGGTAGGTTTAGGTATATGTAATATAGGTATATATCTGGATCCAACTCCTTCCCCTGGATTTTGTGTTCTGCAGTGAGGACCATCTCTGGATTTCTCTGTTTGCCTGTGCCTTGGACTCTGTCATTGTTTGGACTGTGCAATTGACATCTTGCCTGTTTTGGACTACGATTGTGGATTATCCCTTCAATTATCCTGTGTGTCAGAGCAGTTTCATGACACTAGGCCACCATGAACACCCTCAATATTTAGATTTTTGGTCAGTCAATATGGGTTTTTCAATAACAAATTCTTAAACATCTACAAAACAGTACTGTGGTGTTACTTTGAAATATACCATGGTGCTTAAATTCACTCCAGGGTACTTGATGGTGCATGCCCAACAAACAAACCTGTAATTTAGCATTCTGGGAACCACTAATCTAAGATCCTTTCTTGCAATGTATAGAAGAAAGCATCACATTGAATGAAACGGCTTATGTCTGATCCACTGCTCAGAAATATGTCAAACAATTTTGAAGTCGCAATAAAATGGAAGTAGCGACAAATATTTTCTTACGTATTATGACGCACAACCAAGTGGAACAGATTATCGGAAAAGAAAAAATCTAGGACGAGGACTTGGTTCTATCCATCGGTTGTTGATTGGATGTTGAGGATGTTAAAAGTGGAGGCAGATAAATGCAAGATTGCAAGGGCGGGGTTAAAAAAAACGAAATGATTGGAGAAGTCCTGCATACATCACCAGAGAGAAGTGTGCTGTTTTCATTGGAAGGTCCAGTTATGACATTTTGATTAATCCTTTCCCTGCCAAAGATGGAATTTTCCATAATTTATAACACACTTTCCCGCCAATTACGTAATTTTCCTTCATTAACGACACAACACTTCCCTGACATTGATGGAATTTCAGTCATTTATGACAACACTTCCCTGGCATTGATGGAATTTTTCGGCAATCCATGTTTTCACTGTTATACGGTAAGGGGGCGCTATCACGCATCTTCTGAAATAGTACAGAATCTGCAGATCAAACACAGGCAAAGAAGAAGCAGAAACAAGCGATAGAAGCATTGCTTACGCACATAAATAATGTGATCATAAAACATTAAACAGCATATAAATCAAAATGCCTGACGCTACTGAATAAAATGTCGACCCAGGTAGGGTTAATGACTGTGAGTGTGAAGCTTTGGGGGTGTTGATGGACTCGATCTACTCCACCTATGTTTTGATCATCGTTCTGAATCCGATCTGGACGTAGTGTTTGACAAAAATGTGATTTTTGCTTTTTTATGAAACGTGCCCACATTCAAGTGTTGATAAAAAAGAATACACGAAGCCTAGAATAATTGTTTTAAGCAGTCTCTCATTCTTTTGACATATCATGTTCAGACAATAATACAACTAGTAGGGCCGGGACTTTAACGCGTTAATTAAGATTAATTAATTACACACTTTAACGCGTTAATTAATTACACAAATTATTTTAATCGCACTTCTTTTTGCACCGCGGAACGTTTCTCACTGGATGAGTTTCGGCGGACCGATTATACTGGCGCACCAACTAGCGTTCATGACGAAAAAGCTGGCGAGATCGCTATGGGCTCTATGCACTGCGGTATTTCCGGTGAAGGTCTAAGGATGCTGGATTACTTCCGCCGATCGCAGAGTCCAATGCTATACCGAGAATTTATATTGGTTTTTATACTCTATTGCTATACTAAAGAAACGTTAGTCACAAAAACAGACAAAACAGACACCCCTCATTTTGTTTATGCTTCTTTGTTTATTATATTAAATAAACATAACTATATATAAAATTACATCTAAACGTATTAAAGTTTCGTTTCAAAGACGAGAGGACAGTAAATTTTGAAGACTCTGCCATAATCCCGTTTTCCTCGGTTTTCCTCCACTTTAAATCTCCCCAACCGGAAAAGCAAGAGCATCCTTGCATCAAACGCGGAAGTTATGCGTGCATATAGCCCATTCGCTTTGGTTGGCCGGTGGCTGGGAAATTTTGTTACAAAAAACGAACGGATGGAAGCGTCGATAAGAGCATGGTTGTGTGCAAGCTATGCAACAAGGAATTCGCTATTGCTATTAGTGTAGTGTAGCAATATGCTATTGCTACACTTAATGGCAAAAATTGCACTGGTCTGCTGGACTTGGTTGAACAAAAATAAACTATTGTGTTGCTTAAGCTTATGTATTCAGTCATTATTCAATGGTATACTAAAAATCCATGTGAAAAAAATTAATTCTCACTGTTCGCAGGTCAAATATTTATGCGATTAAAATGCGATTAATTTCGATTAATTAATTACAAAGCCTCTAATTAATTAGATTAATTTTTTTAATCGAGTCCCGGCCCTAACAACTAGATATTATGCGGGGCCTTGACATTTTTGTGAGAATGATAAAAAATGCTGGCGCTGGCATCAAAAAAAAAAAAAAAAAGCTTGTGTGGAAAGAGTTAAACAATTCAAGTTCAAAACAACAAAATTTAAATTGCTTGCTATGTGAGTTAGAACATGCATTTAGAAAATAGATGAATTTTAAGTGAACTTTCATTTCATGCTGACTTTAAGACAAGTACAGACTCTCTCTGACCCCATTTACATGAGCTTGTTAAGTTTGGGGCCCGCCAGCTGACACATGGATGATACTTTACAGACGGTTGGTTTAGAGTAGACAGTCTAAATGCAGTCTCTGGAATCATATCATGTTTACATGATATATTTTTAAGACTTCAAACCGAGCAGTCAAAAAACCCGGAAGTCCCAAAGTCATTAGTGAGGATATGATTTGCAGAAGAGAAATGTTTATGTATTTTTATAATGTAAGGGTCAGTTAGATTGGCTTTTTGAGACAGATTATTCCCAGATTAGACCCCAGTGTCCCACGTCCCTGACTGAAAATCCTCTTTCGCAGAGGAATGCGGTTATCTGTATCTTAGAAACCAGCCCCGCAGATTAAACATTTCATGTCACTGTGACAGCTGCAGGGAAATCCTGCTAATTTAGTCGTTTAACAGCACAGATGGTAAGAATTTGCAAAGCCAACTCAAATGAAACCAAACATGACTTTTTTTTTTTGGATAAGGTAAGTAGGGATTGGTCAGTGATACTCTTAATATCCACCCTCTGCATCCCACATCCAATCACAGCTCAGTCTGAGCAACAGGATCTACCTGGCCAGTATACGAGAACCAAGTGTTTGTTGTGTTCAGACATGAAAGAGTCGACCTTTGACATGCTTTACAGTCTCTCTCTCTGTCCTTAAGTGTGTGTTCACACTTGGCAGGTTTGGGTAGATTAAAACGAATTCTGGTGCGATTGCTCTGTTAGTGTGGTCCATTTAAATAACTGTGATCCCTGTCCAAACAAGCGGACCGAGAGTCGAGCTGAAACGATGGGTCTGAAAAGATGGGTCTTGTTCCACTTTCAAACGAACTCTGGTGCGGTTCGACTGCAATATGAACGCATCACCGACCAAAAACATCCAAACAAACCAAAAATAGGACATGATGTCACAAGATGTGACAGAATGCTCAAGCATACCTGTTTTTTTCTCGTCATAGTCGCGATGTTGCCCATCACAGTTCAGTATAGGCATCAGAAACGCGTCTCCTCACAACAGATCTATGTTTGTGTGTGTGACGGAGGGATTCCTGCTGCTGTTTTGACTACTTTACACATTTTATAAGCTCTTCACGAGTTCTAAGCTGGTAAAATACCACCATATGTAGGCTACGCACATATAGTGAGCGAATTTACCCCAGCACACAGGATTTTGGATGTTCGACAAGTTCCGTCTCAAAATATACGTCATAAAAGCCATTTATCTTTAGATTCGATGTTAAAAATGACAGTGTGAATGCTAAGCTGTGATGGAGACCCTATCACATAAGTGAACCAGGACTAACCTGTTTGGTTAGATTAAAACGAACTCTAGTGCGATTTGCCTTGTTAGTGCGGTTCATTTGAATAAGTGTGAACGCTGCCATCCGAACCCTGGTGCCACCAAACAAGCGCACCGAGACTCTGAAAAGATGAGTCTCAGTCCACTTCCAATGAACCTGTGTGGTTCGAAGGAAATATGAACGCAACATGGACCAAAAACATGTAAACGAACCAAAAAACGGGAATATGAGACCCTAAAAAGGAAAGAATGCTCACGCATACCTGTTTTCTCTCATCATAGTCGCAGTGTTGCCCATCGCAGTTCAGTATAGGCATCAGAAAGTGTCTCCCCGCAGCAGGTCTATGTTTGTGTGTGTGACGGAGGGATTCCTGCCACTGGTTTGACTCATATACACATTTTATAAGCTCCTCACGAGTTCTCAGCTGGTCAAAATACCATCATTGATGTAAGCTACGGACATATAGCGAGCACCCTTAGCTTAGCACACAGCATTGTTTTGGATGTTCGGTAAGTTCCGTCTCAAAATAGGCAATACATCATAAAAGCTGACCAATCAGGTTGTGAACGTATTCATATGCCTTTAGGTTCAGTTGTAAAAATGCCAATCTGAACGCTAAGCGGACCAGGACTAAATGTTTTTATTTGGTCTGGACCAAGCGAACTGAACTGAAGTGTGAACACACCTTAAACCATTTCACTGTTTTTTTACCATGTTGTGCATCCACCTTGAGACCAGTTGCTTAAAACTCATTGCAAAAATGCAGTGTCATTTTAAGTGACAGTTTTGGTCTGATATGGGTTGCACTAATGCTGATTATGTTTGTCATCCTTACTGTCATTCTGCCTTCCTCACGTTGCCTGTTTCCTTCACCCTGTGTGAGGTCATTACTAATTCATTCCCTCCTTTGTGGTTTGTCCAACATGAGCTGAAAGCTGTCTGAATGTAGGACAGAACCGAGAGAACTCTCTCTCTCTCTCTCTCTCTTTACTTCAGTTCACTCAAGCATGACTGATGCCGTTTTAAAGAAAGAGGCTCCAGGTCTGTAGACTAACAAGCAGACGGAGAGAAAGAAGCTATACATTGAAAATGAGAAAGAGAGAAGTGAAGGATGAAAGAGGACCTGTTCTCATCCTGGTTAATTGTGTGTTTCTGTCAGGATTGCTTCATCGCTGAAGTGCACAATCCCAACACACACACACACACACACACACAATATCAGCCCAATGGCCTTGAACAGCAGTATAAACACTGTCTGTCCTGTTTGATTTGTGTGTATTGTATTTGTGTTTTAGGTTTGTGTGATTTTTCTTGTACACACTATACTCAGCTACAAAGAGCTCTTTGTGTGGCCGGCCTCTACACAGAGCTGTCCTGTGATTGGCTGAGAGTTTGGAGCTAAAATGTGATTGGTCAGGCCACTTTTAGAGGCGGGAGTAAGTCAGAGGGGGGTTTGATGCTGAATTAAAACCAGTATGAGGTGCACAAACACACACACCTCCACAATGTCCGTCGCTGCACGTATAAACCAGCTAACCGTTATACTTCTGTCTGGTGAGTTTAACTCCTGATTGGTTACATCAGTAGTTAGAAATGCTGGAAATAAAGTGTTCATTTAGCCCAATGCCATTTATTCATTCATTTATTTTGTATTTAGCAGTTTGGTTGTTTCTATGATAACATTGTTTTTTTCATAATATTGTGCGTGTATTCCAAATTTAGTTGTTATATAAAAGGGAAAAAAAAATTTGTTAGCATCAGAGGTGTAAAGTCCATGTTCAGAAAGTAAAAGTCCTCCTCAGTATTTTGTTCCAATCAACTGGATTTGCTAATTAGCAGTGTTTCAGCCAGGAGATTGAGCTAATTAGTGAAATCATCTGACTGAGTTCATGTGTGGAATAAATATATCTGGCTTTACTTTTACTTTCTGACCCCTGGACTTTACACCTCTGGTTAGCATTGCATAGTTTTGCTTGTGTCAGGTTTATGTTCAGTTTTTTTCTTTTTATGTTGACCCAGTTTCCTAGTGTATTTCTGTTTGTTCCTTTATTCTGTTCACCTGGTTCCCATTAATTAGCTTATTAGGAAACAGAATTATGTTGTATTTAAGTTATAATGTATTTAAGTTTATTAGATTATAATGTATTTAAGAGTTTGAGGATGATGCTGCAGGTTTCTCTTAAACATTTCACATTATTTAAGAATCATCATATCTTATTTTCACATTTTATCCACGTATGTGTTTTTAAATAAAAACAATCATAATTCAGTTTTTCATAGTGTGCGTGAAACAGTTTAGATTCTATAAATGCTCTTTTTGGACTGGGTTAATAAATGCTGGTATGTAAGAGTATGTTTACTCTAAGAGTATGTTTTCAGAGTACAGTTTATTCTTTTGCTTAAAGAAAATTACATTTATCATAATATAAAAGTTGCTGTAATTTATTTGTGTGTACTTAAAGTGCAAATATGTAGCTCAAAGATGTTGGTCTTGTGTTTTTATATGTCACATTGAAGGATTGTAGGGCCCTCTTTCTGGTAGCTGTCAATCACTGGCTAATATCCGGTCAGACTCCTCCCACTGCCCTCATCGCCATGGCAATTCCCAAAATCCAACAATCCGCAGCACTGTGCAGCCTCAATGTTTGTTCTGAGGTCAGAACTGAGGAAGCTGGAAATAGTGTGTGTGCCTGTGCTTTAATGACTCTCATAGTCCTTTCTTTCTTTCCCTAGTGCACCTCATTCCAACCAATCCAGTGGCAGAGCAAAGGTCACTTGGAAAAAGCAGAAAGCGTGTGAATCCAGTCCTCCATACGGATCCTCCCGCCCCTGACCCCATCCGAGACACCCACCAGTACTGTAATTACCCCAACCTCAGCGAGCACGGCTGGGAGGGTAAGAAACACACACACACACACACACGTTTACCTCCTCACACACCTGAAGACTCTCAGACGTGGTGTGATGTAGTTGTGTGTGTCGTAGGTCACAGTCCGGCGGACTACAGGCTGCTGTCGGTCCAGGTGATGATTCGTCATGGAGACCGTTTCCCTTTATACTCCATCCCAAAAACCAAGAAACCCGCCATAGATTGCACTCTATCAGAGAAGAGGTATGCATTCATATCTTATGGATCTGATGATTATATCCTTCTGATTATCTGTCCGTTCGTCTGTCTATCTATCCCACTGTCTATCTGTCCATCCATCCACCAGTCCATCCATCTATCTATCCCACTGTCTGTCTGTCCATCTATCTATCTCTCCGTCCGTCCGTCCATCTATCTGTCCCTCCGTCCGTCCATCTATCCCACTGTCCGTCCGTCCATCTATCCCACTGTCTGTCTGTCCATCTATCTATCCCTCTGTCTGTCCATCCATCCATCTATCTCTCCGTCCGTCCATCTATCTATCCCTCCGTCTGTCCATCCATCCAACTGTCTGTCTGTCTGTCCATCCCACTGTCTGTCTGTCCATCCATCCTCCAGTCCATCCATCCATCTATCCCACTCTCCGTCCGTCCGTCCATCTATCTATCTATCCCACTGTCCGTCCGTCCATCTATCTATCTATCCCACTGTCCGTCCGTCTATCTATCTATCTATCTATCTATCTATCTATCTATCTATCTATCTATCTATCTATCTATCTATCCCACTGTCTGTCTGTCCATCTATCTATCTATCCCACTGTCTGTCTGTCCATCTATCTATCTATCCCACTGTCTGTCTCTATCTATCTATCCCACTGTCTGTCTGTCCATCTATCTATCTATCCCACTGTCTGTCTGTCCATCTATCTATCCCACTGTCTGTCTGTCCATCTATCTATCTATCCCACTGTCTGTCCATCTATCTATCTATCTATCCCACTGTCTGTCCATCTATCTATCCCACTGTCTGTCTGTCCATCTATCTATCTATCCCACTGTCTGTCCATCTATCTATCCCACTGTCTGTCTGTCCATCTATCTATCCCACTGTCTGTCCATCTATCTATTCCACTGTCTATCTGTCCATCCATCCACCAGTCCATCTATCTCACTGTCCGTCCGTCCATCCATCCCTCCGTCCGTCCATCCATCATCCCACTGTCTGTCTGTCCATCCCACTGTCTGTCTGTCCCTCCAACCATCCATCCATCCATCCATCTATCCCATTCTGTCCATCCATCCACCAGTTCATCCATCCATCTCACTATCCGTCCGTCCATCTGTCCGTCCATCTATCTATCCCACTGTCTGTCTGTCCATCCATTCATCCATTCGTCCATCTATCCATCCCACTGTCCGTCCGTCCGTCCGTCCATCCATCTGTCTGTCCATCTATCCCACTGTCTGTCCATCCATCCCACTGTCTGTCCGTCCGTCTCTATCTATCTGTATGTCTGTCACAATATATAATGAAATGACTGAAAAAGTACATAATGCATCATTTTAAAAGTCTGCCTGTTTTCAAGGTCCATCATATTAGAAGATTGTTTTTTTTTTGAGTGCTTACAACTGATCAGTGGACTTATGTTTGTGTGTTTATCAGGTTTACTGTTTATCAATAGGGCATGCAGTTTATGAATCGTTATCAGATTAATATTCCATTCCCGCAGTCGTCTTTTATCCATCCCTGATCCGTGTCGCCGTGGTTACGGCAGCAGTGAAGAGTCACTGTGATGCTACCTAAAATAACATTATTGTTTCCATGGTTTCATCATTGTATTCTAACCAATGACATGACAAATGCTGTGCTCCAGAATATCCCAAGAATTATTAATCACGCACAGCAACCCATAATATTCCCACGATGTCTTAGATTTATGTATTACAAAGTAATCCTCAACCATAAATCCTTCTGTCTCTTTCTCTTTATCAAGCTCTAGTTCTTCACAAACCTTGCTATCTAAATGCAGACATACCCTAAAAGCTCTGATGTGTGATTGCCTTTGTGAGCCGACCCGACATGACCGTAATGCTCTGACGGGTTCTGACTGAAAATGAAGATGTATTATAATAAACTGCAGTAATCCAACATCCCTCCTGGAGTTTTCTGAAGTCTATTAAAAATGATCAACTTTACCTCAGAGTCTATTGCAGATAGTGCATATAGTAATAGAACAGAACATAATTTTGTTTTGATTTATCCATAGTTGCATTAGATCTGCATTAAATCTATGCAATCATTTTTTTTAATGATGCATGTTTCGTGTAATTGTGGTAGCATTATGTATCTTGATAATGCTGTTGTCTTTAACAGTCGCTGAGCATTAGTTTCGGGAACAAAGCTCATAGCAGACCTCTGCCCTTGACTTTTATTGTTTTTAACTAATGTTAATTATTTTACTACAGACTAACCCACGTCCTATTCCTGAAAGTAAAAATTAGCATTTTTATAATAAACCAAAAGATTAATCGACTTTTTTATTCCCTTTGAAGATGTCCCGTGTGCATATAGATCAGCTTGAAAAATTCAAATGGTTTCTAGCGTCTATCATTATACATGTTAGCATGCCTCCCCGTTGTGGATATATCTTGTAATGACATTCTCACGTGGCTCCCCAGAGCTGCTTATTGCCCATTATGATGCATATTGTGTTTAGACCCGAAGTCTTCAATCCTGCAATCCTGTAGAGTTCAGCTCCAAACCTGATCAAACACACCTGAAGCAGCTGATCAAGCTCTTCAGAATCACTAAACAATATACAGGCAGGTGAGCTGAAGTGTTGGAAATATACTTTGCAGGACAGTGGGTCCTCAGGAGACATCTGCTTCAGGCTGTTGATCTGGAAAAAGGTTTCATGAATGTAACGCATACATTTATTTCAGATTTAAAATAAGTTCTAAAACATATTTCATGGTTGTAATTTCACAGAAAGCCCTCTCACCCCCTTTTGGCCGCCTTCATTAGTCACATGGCTCTCGGTGGGCGTGGTCACTGGGACGCATCACTGGGATCTCTGCCCCGATTACCCAATCACAACACCTGTGAAATGGGAGAGCTTACACAGACAGGTAACCAGTCATAGGCTGCGTCTGAATTCGCATTCTCTCTTGAGTTGGTACTTATTTTGAATAAGTAATTACTTCACAACTGCTAAGAAAGTATGTTCTATATAGTATGAATGTAATCTGGACGTACTACTTTCGCTATGTTGTTTATCATGTGACGTACCAGCTCCAGGGTCAGTTGTGTCGCTTCACTGCCATTCACAAATCCTCTCCCGTGGCCTCATGGGATAGTAAAGTGTCCATCATATCAGAGCCCGTCTAACGGAGAGCCTTGGCACTTCCTATTAGCCCCATTGTGTATCATCTTGGTTGCAGTTCCATTAGAATTCCACTGGAGGTGATCACAGGCGAGTGCAGAATGAATGGGAGTCTATGGAGCTAAACGGCTAAATGTATCTCTTTCTCCTGCTTGTCGTTGAATCAACATATATTTTATTGTTGATTCTGCAAGTTCAATATAAGTTATAGGGCAAAAGTCGAATGAACGAGTACTTATGTCCTTTCGATTTCTTACAGGTTGGGCCGTTGTTGCCTGAAACACGCTAGCATTCTGCTATTATGTGACGTCATCACATTTTTGAATGGATTTTTAGAACAGATAAATGCAATTTTCAGCTGAGTGTATTATCTTAGCCCTCCCTTTTGAATGCAACTTTCAAATTACTTGACAAAAAAATTACATTCTGAGAAAAGTGGATTTCTGGGGGTGAAACCCCATAGACTCCCATTCATTCTGCACTCGCCTGTGAGCGCCCCCGCATGGACAGAGACGTGTTACTGCAGCCAGTCCAGAAACCGGAAGTAACCAGACAGTGCCAATTCTCTTCAATTAGACATTCTCTGATCATATGCACACTTCAGAATCTCACCGGAAGTAGTTGGTCATTCGGGTACTTTTCACCTACTCTTTTATGAGTACTCTGAAATCAGACATACTACTTTTCGTCAACTATAATATAGCGGGAAGTGTGTGATTTTGGATGCAGCCACAGAGTGGCAATATTTATGTAAAATCTATATGTGTGTGTGTGTATATTTTATGAATAAAAATATACAGTATATACATGTTGTATTCTTGGTGTGAAACTATCATTAACTAAAATCCCCAAAAAAGTGCTGCTTGAAATCAAATAAATGTTAACTGGAATAAAAAAAAAAAAAAATTATATAAAAATGAAACGCATGTTATTTCATTTAGTTGCCCGGGCAAAATTTCTCATTTTTGCTTATTTTAAGTACTAGAATAACTAAATTCCGTATAAAAACTTATACAAATTATATAATTTTAAAGAAAATCTAATAAAAATCACAAAAACATTCAACAAAAAACTAATTGAAATTATTAACAAAAACTGTAGTAATATATCAATGACACTAAAATATCACTGGTGTGAAACGTTACTGGCCATGCTTACTAATATTTCTTTCACTTTTTCTCTCTATCAGGAGTCGTACAGCACTTGAAAAACGGCGATCATTTTCGCCAGGCCTACATCAAGCGTCAAAATCTGCTCACGGCTGATTGGTCACCGCGGCAGTTGTGGGTGGAGACTACAGGTAAAAGCCGCACCCTCCAGAGTGGATTGGCCTTCCTCTTCGGCTTCCTCCCACATTTCGATTGGTCGCGTCTGACGGTTAGACAGCAGTGGAGTACGCTTTTCTGCGGTTCCTCGTGCGACTGTCCCACGCGCAACCGGTACCTGGACCAGGAGCAGCGCAGGCAGTATCACCAGAGGACTGCCGACACTGAACTCGAACGCACGTATGTCACCATGGCCAAGACGTTGGGCGTGGCCACAAAAACTCTGAGGGCGGCCAATCCCGTGGATGCTTTGTTGTGTCACTTTTGCCACGGTCTTCCCTTTCCGTGCTCCAGCACGCAGACTACATCACATGTTTCGGATGAGGGGGCGTGTCTTACACTACAGCACTTTGCTGTGATTCGACGGCAGCAGAAAGACGACGAACTGGAGCGGCGGGAGGCGGGGCTTTATCGTCGCTATGCTGTGCTCGCGGCTCATCCGTACCTCAACCGCACCGCAGCGCGACTGGAGAAGATCGCCAGAGGAAGCCAGACGCGCAAAGGCACAGAAGAGGCGGCCTTCGCTTTAGCATCTGCTCATGACGTGACCATGGCGCCGTTGCTAAGCGCGCTCGGTCTGGAAGGGGCGGGATTTCCACGGTTTGCGGCCCGCTTAGTGTTTGAGCTGTGGAGTAGCCCCAAAGCGAAAGACCAAGAAAGAAAGAATGAAAGGAAACGTGGAAAGTGGTTGGACGATATGTTTATTCGCGTTCTTTATAACGGAGAGGACTTGACCTTTGACACCGCTTTCTGCCGTGACCACAATCGACACTCTGCTCAGCCACTGTGCCCTCTGGGTAATTTCCTGTCGTTTGTGAGGAAGGATATGTTCAATATTGTTAACGCTACGAGTTACCAGCAGGCCTGCCGCCAAATTGTACTGTAATATATGAACAGAGCACCAAGGGAGGATTAACAGGAATAATTTACCCAAATATTCTGTACAATTCTGTCATCATTTGCTTCATGTTGTTCCAAATCCATATGACTTTTCGTGGAATGCATATGGCAATACTATCAATAATGAGACTTTAAAGCTCCAAAAAAAGCAAGAAAATCTCACTAAAAGTCCATTCGACTTATGCACTATATACAAGAGGAGTTTCCAGGTGCATGTCACTGCATGTTTTCATTGTATGGATCAATAGCAGCTTTAACGTTTTTCAAAATTTCTCCTTTTGTTTTCCGAAAAAGGTTTGAAATGACGTGAAAGTGAGAATTTCAGAATTTTTATTTTTGGGTGAACTGTTCCTTTAAGAGCGAGTACTACTAATGTTTTTGATGTAGTGTTAAGTCTGAGGACCAAATAATTGTCCTGCACAAAAATTGGTACACTTTGCTAATCACATCAACTGACAAAAACTGAAGTTGTTTACAGCAATTTTTTTTTTTTTTTTTTTTTTTTTACAGAGATTGGCATTGATTGAATATGCACATTTGGATGACGACTGATTTTAAACGTGACGTGATGTCAAACGACCCTACAAAAGCACATATATCCAGCACACAAACAGTCACTTGTTAAAACACCTCTTGCCTTTATTCTGAGTCGGTGATCTAGGAATCCTGCCCAATCATTAATGACAATCCCAATGGATGTCCTATATTGAGAAACTGTCCGTTTTTTTTTACCACATTTCATAAATATTTGTATTAGATATAGGGCACTTCGCCACTTTATTGCAGAGTTTCTGCAGTGATCGGGAATTGGATATTTCAATTTCACGTCTCTTCCATTTGATGTCCCGGATGAGTTCTCACTTGAATTGTATTAGCAGAATTTCTAGTTTTGCGCAATTATGTTGTCCTGACACATTCCTCACACATTGTGTGTGCTTTTAATTTCTTTTGTTCTTTTTATTTTCGTATAACGTAGAGGTGAAAGGAGTGGTAGTATTTCTGAGTATAGTACTGATTCAAATGAACTTTTGTATTATGACGGTCTTAAGATCAGTGTACTGCCACATTCCAAAGCACATTTTTCAATAAATGAATCATTTTGTCTATAAACTTCACTGTGGTTTATCTGAAAAATACATGTAATTTTGACTTTCAGACAAATTGTATCCTATTCTGTTCAAAATCCACCCACTTAGTCCAGATGAGACTATCTGACTGACATGTAAAGTGCCCAAATGAAATGCAGGCCAGCTAGTGAGCGCTTTTATAAGTAAACCTCACTCCCCTGATCTCAAGAAGTGCATTAGAGACTGTGGCCTTTACATCCTTGTTAGCGCGCCCATGCCAGAGACGCAGGTTCGAGTCCCTCTTGGAGCGGGGTGAGCAGGATTGGAGCGGTTACACAAACGGTTTATCTTGATTTACATGGCAATGATAATGAGGCATGGGTTTATTTAAAATACCTGATAAAACAGTAACAGTCCAAACGTGGAAAGATTCATTCAAATAATTGTCCTACAGTGTCGGTATAAGACCAGCTGTATAGAAAACAAGAAATAATAATTTTGCATATCTAGTTTACTGGCTATTAAGCTATCAAACTAAATTTGTAAAGATATGATGCCACAAAATTTGGTAAATCTTTGTAAAACTTTTTTTTTTTTTTTTGCAAACTTTGTTAAATCAATAGTTTTTTCATCATTGTATTTCATATTTTTATTTTTATTTTAGAGATCCTAAAGTTGTGTAAAACCTATTGGAACTGGCAATACCTTTCACTCATATGAGCATACAATCTAGCTAAATAATACATAACTATTGAACTGCCAACAACAACATTTCACATGATGGCCACAAGGTGGCAGGAGACTTTAGTTTGTGGTCATGGCGCTGAGAGTAAGACTTCAGGTTGAGTCAGCACTATAGAAGGAGTGCAAGCATCAGTTCATTGGTCAGCATTATACATATACTAAATGCAGAAAGCCTCTCTGGATTTGAGTCATTATTGTTAAATATGAGATTGCAAATCATGCGGACTGGTTTTAGCCTTGCCTGTCAAATAACTCAATCACAACAGCCAAAAATCTGTCACCAGAGTAATCTCCAAAATTTCCCCAGGAGTGTGTATTGGGATGTAAGTAAAGGAATCGGAGGCCTTGTGATCTCTACGAGATGATTTTAATTAGCCGCTGGCTTCCTCGCCAAAGAAAAGATCATTTATTTCCTGACTTTGACAGAGAAATCGATCTTAATTAAAGAGAGTTAGAGTGTGGGTTTCTGATGGTATTTGTGTGCCTGTGAGTGTTTAGAAACTACAGAGATTAACTTTTTTCAAATTAAGAAATGATTATCCTTCCAGACAAAACACTTTCTTTTGCATAATACTTTAGCAATTATGCCAAAAATGGCTTGTTTTTGGTGTGTATACGGACCCATTTGGAGATCTTCAAAAAAGTTATGAGCTGTTCACACAGAGTTCACAGTCTCTATGAAATATGCATATTACTATATAGGACGCAAAACGTAGTATGTTAAATGAGTAGGATGTCTTATTGGTCTAAAATCATACCTACAGCCATCACATTCAATGTGGATAAGTTTGGCCTACATGTTACTGGAAACGTTGCTAAAAACCAACACAAACCAAAGTTTAGGTTCTGTCATCATTTACTCACATTCAAATGTACTAATTTCTTTCTTTGTTAAACACAAAAGAAGATATTTTGAAGATATCATTGGAATGGAAAGAAATACCTTGGAAGTCAATGGGGTCTGTTTCAATCTTCTTGTTCTTTTAGCAGTTTATGGTATATGGCTCCAGAATACTTGGTGGATCTCATTAAGCCTTATAAGGCAACTAAGATCCTCAAATAAGCTCCTAAATATCCCACGAGTACGTCTTAAATCCAAGGGTGATCTTGCTTTCTCTGTTGCTGGTCCGAGATTGTGGAACGACCTACCCTTTTTTGTTAGATCTTCCCCAACATTAAATATTTTTAGGTTTCGTCTAAAGTCTCACTCTCTTGCATTTTAAGTCACTCTTTTAAAGCTGCAGTCCGGAACTTTTCCTCTTTGTCGCCATCTCTCTGTTCGAAATCTGTAACTGCAGTGATTCGCGGAATTATCATCTTTACGTGGGTTGTAAATCGGCATGAAACAGCGCGGATGAACACAGTGCTTTGAGGCGAGTGCTGCTGTCAATCACCGCGCTGTGTGGATACAGAATCACAGATTCACTTTTTGAAAGTTTGACCAACATAAGAATTTTCATAAGAAAATGTCTTCTGAACAAGTAAGTAAAATCCATTTTTGTTCTGACCAACTAAGGGGGAAAAAGCATTCGACATGATAAGCTTCGTTAGATTTAATCAACGCGATTTACAGCAACCGTGCAAATTATAGCCAACTTTGTTCTCAAATTGTTCATGTTAACAACATCAGCATTGCGTGACTAATGTTAAATTTAATGTGTTTTATGGTTACCTGTGTAGTTCAGAATTCATATTCTCCATAATAGCAAAACGAGAAAGGCACAAGGAAACTCCATAACTGTGTGAATTAAGAAAACGTACTGTTACACGATTGAACTATTGAAATGTCTTACTTGTTCAGCAGAAAAAAGCCGTCTCTTCTTCCGTTTTGAACCCCTTCAAAACACGGAGTTCACGCACTTTTCAAAAGCCCCGCCGATGTTTAAATCCTTGTGTTCGCATGAGACGGTTTCTTTCTCTTTCTCTAGCCACCTTAAATCCGAAGTACGAAGTCTTTTGGGTTTTATAACTGCTGAATCTCCAGTTGACACTGATGATTGTTGTTTGGATCTTTCTGGATGCCATAAGTTTAATCATGTAAAGTGCTGCGAGAAAAGCCTATACATCTAAACATCTCGTCACGCGCAGTACAGCCGGCTAGCCGAAACTCCTTCTTTATGTGTACGGGTGTGACGTAATGACGCAAAGACATGCTCGAATTTCCTGCGGAAACCGAATCGGTTACCTAACGTAACCTCGGTTCTCTCTAGAAGAGGGAACGAGTATTGCGTAAGCTAGCTTACGCTGCGGGAAAGATTCATCTTTGCTGAGAGTTTGAAGCCAAAAAATTATTTCATAATTTGTATCCATTGACAACGCAGTTCCTCTGCGGCAGACCTAGAGCAGGCTAGCTAGCAGCTCATTGGTTCGCTCAGAGAGAACTGCTTAAGCCTATGGGAGAGCGGGGCTGAACCCGCTGCCAATGAGAAGCGCCCGCGCGCTCATTGCATCATGGCCCGCCAGAATGGGCGTGGCTATGGTGTATATAACAGTCTCTCCCAGGCTTATATGTTGATTTATTTCAGCGTGAAGCGAAACGCTAGTAGCGCAAGCACGGCCGGGAACGCAATACTCGTTCCCTCTTCTAGAGAGAACCGAGGTTACGTTAGGTAACCGATTCGTTCTCTTACGAGAGGTTCTCTCGTATTGCGTAAGCTAGCTTACGCTGCGGGAACACCTGGTCAACGCCGTGCGCGCTATGAATCCACTCATGAATCCCAGGGTGATACCGGGGGATTTTTAACGTGGAGTGAATGTAATATGAGGCCGGCAGAGCGGGCACATGAAGTATATACATAAGCATCTAAGGAGAGCACAAGGGTCGAACCGGTTGTGTGAGGGACTCCCAGTAATGTTGCTTCTTAGGGAGCTGGTCGTTAGACAGCTAGTAATTTTGCCTGCAAGGCGGGAACTTCCAAGTTGTAAAATCTGACAAAAGTGGACGGGGAGGCCCATCCCGCGGCCACACAAATGTCATGAATGGAAATTCCACAGGACCATGCCCACGATGAGGCCATGCCTCTAGTGGAGTGCGCCCTGATGCCCAGAGGGCAGGGCAGGCATTTAGATGCGTAAGCAGAGGCGATAGCGTCTACTATCCATCTAGACAGTGTCTGTTTAGAGGCGGCCAGACCTTTTGTGCGCCCCCCAAACGACACGAAAAGCTGCTCAGCGCGTCTGAACGC